TGAGTCTCTTCGCGACGTCATCCTTTGCATTCTACAGTGAACATTGAGATAGTACGAATATCGCTAGAACCGCAATACTGACAGAGCCGTGATTAAAATTCGCAATGGAATGCTATCAGTGCAACTCCTAAAAGTATTTGAGAGTACCTGCTTTATTTAAGTGCCACCTTATTGGGAATACCCGCACTTAGAACTTTCAACCGTCCTTTTTGTCTCATTATTGCAACCGCTCATTAATGAGGTGCTAAACACCACAAGGGGTGAGGTGCAATAACGTTTCAAGGCTCCATTACTGTTATGGCTTGGGTCAGAAATCTCCCGCAGGGGAAAAACCTGAGCAAGTCTGCTCGACAAATGCACTGCAAGTGACATGAGCATTCCTGAAATCAGAACACAGTGCAATCGGATACGTTGACGGATCACGAATTCAGTTTGTTTAGGATGCAAACTTCGTTCGCGAGCAGCCGTTCGAAAACGTTATTTTTTCTTTCTACAGAATTTCACGCTCCAGCATGGGTGACGGTGACGTGGAGATATAAAGATGCAGAACGTATTGCGACTACTTATTTGCATAATTTACGGCTGGTACACCAAAAACGTGCCGAACAGGTTCAGATGTACGTTTCTTTCCAATACGGATCCTCTCTGTACCCAATATTGTTTTTCTCCATCCTGTAAATTACCAACAAGAGTAAGTACATGTAACCTCAAACAGTGATGTTAAAAGGGGGATTCATATATGTATGGTATATTACTAGGATCATGATACAACGGAGCATCCTAAAAACTGCTACCTCCACAGTTCTTGTTTTAAACAGGGGAACGTTTTTATAGCCTGTCGGCCTTTTCTGGCTGAAGTATAAGATTGTCCGAAAATTCATACCCATCAAAGGTGCTCAATTAATCACTACAAATCCCATCACGGCAATGCTTGTGGCATTTCCGCATGGCGTTCGTAATCACAATTTCATAACGAAAGTATTAATGATGCCCTTCTCCCCATTGTATGTACAACCAATCAAAGTGTTGTCATAACCTAGCCATTCGATTCACTATTGGATAAATGTCAATCCATTTGCTGTTTCTTAGATGCCTGGCAAAATTATCAGCAGTAAATCTCTCACCGTACGCCATTTCCAGCGGACTCTGATAGTCCCGTCTACCAGACTCGAGTGGATGACCAGCGCTGCGTTCGTGGTGTTTGACTCGAGTCAAGGTGGGTGAAAGTCGGTTGGGAAGATCAGAGTTTAAGTAAAGCAGGGGCTGTGTTGGGTTATTATATTGCGATGGACGGGTGAACCCACAGTGTTGAGTAATGAGAAGCTTATGATGGGAAACTGCATTTATGATAGCCCGCGGATTTCATATTTTTTATTAGATTCAGTTTCAGTACTTACGATTTCTTCGTTTTAATTTGATAATATAAATCTATTTTTCAGTAATAAATATAACAAACATAATTTCACTCAAAACGTTATTTTAGTTTATGACTAATCCACAAAAACACTTGTTAGCTAAATCATGCAACATCTATCATGAGAACATTAGCACCAAATATATCGAATATTTGTTACTTATTTCTTCGATAAATCGCAACCAAGAGTGTGTAACCACAGCCATCATAAATGGAACGACAATTTAACTCCAGTCTCCTAAGAATGTCTAGAGTAAAGTGTGAAAAGAGTTAACTCGGAATGATGCTACGAACGCACCCCATGAGTGGTCTCTTTGGCGCTGCATTCCATATTTTGATATTTGGAATAAACCTTCTTGTTCATAGACTATGACCAGTTATATATCACCTCACCTGTCTTCGAACAAAAAGCGCCTTCCTCCGTCGCCTTCAGTTTCCAGCATCTATTTTATATGAGTGCACACATCTCTCTTCTCTCGGTAAATCAAATGGCGCAGCCGCAGCCACCATTAGCAATGCATTTGTGGACACCGTTTTGCAAGCGTATATGAACGTAGATTACTGCCCTTCCTTTCGTAGACTTCTGTGCTTATGAATGAACATAATTTTTTTTAATAATTGAGCATTGAGATGATTGAGATCACAAAGATCGTAACGGAAGCCACCCGTATCACAGATAATAATAATGATAATAATAATAATAATAATAGTAATTATCATTATTATTATTATATTATTCGCTCTTCATACACAATACAAAAAATGAGTATATAAGTCTGAAGTAACGACCCATAGAAGGCATTGCCTGTACATGGACCATAGATGGACCAAGACAGAGAATTTTTGTATCAAGACTTTGGTGTATTTGATTAACAACGTGTAATATTGCGTCTGATCTGATGTAGACTACCGTTTCATAAATACGAATTGGTTTTCACATAAAATTTGATATTTAGCGAGAAACTGAAGCATTCCAGTAGAAATTATTTATTCAAATATTTTTGCGATATTAGAAATCACTAATATAGGTCTATAATTGTTAATATCTGTCCGATTTCCTGATTTATATATTGGTGTTATGATATCGTTTTTTCAAAACGGAGGGGTATATACGAGATTCAAACCATAGATTAATTATATATGTCAATGGTTCTGCTACGAATATATCCTCGTCGATAATTTTTAGATGCTTACTTTTAATACCGTCAAATCCTGGGCTTTTGCGATTTTTCAGGGACGTAATTGTATTCACTTGGTTCTACTCTGTCGAAAATAAACGAATTTAGCGATCTTTTTGGAACTTGTGTTAAGGGTATATCTTTTGGCAACTGATTTTCTAAATCTTCCCCTAAATTGTGGAAAAAGTTATAAATTCATGCAGATTTTTTGTTATCACTTATAATCTCTCCTGACTCTGTTTTTAATTCAGTAATAGATTGTTTAGATTGACTATTTGTATTTTCAGTAATCTCGTCAATAGTAGACCAGAGTCTTCTGCTATCATTTTTACTATTATCTAATTTTTGTAAGAAGTGTGTGTGTTTTTATCTCCTTAGTAAGCTCTATAAATTTATTTTCATCTTCATTGTAACGTACTGCAACATTAATCGATACAATATTTTTAAATAATCCTTAATCATGCAGCTGTTGCTCCGTCGTGGACACGAATGGTAATTCGGAAGCTCGTCTTTTTCCATTTTGATGTTCCATAATATAAGAGAAAATACAAATGTATCCTAATCAGGCATTTTAAAGATTTCTCGAGGATTATTTTCTTGTCGACCTTTCTACATCGGATATAGACGAATATTTACGAAATCTAATATTAAACAGAGAGGGAGAATCGAGATCAAAGAAGCCTATAATATATTCAAATCGCTTAGAAACCGTGCTCTTAACATGATCAGCAGGGATCAAAAACATATATTGAAAATTTGGAAGATGAGAATGATTAAAAGAATTGTGGAAGTGTTTCAAACAACTTGATATAAATTTTCGTAGTAAGCCAACCCTTCCAGAATGTTTTAATGACCTTACCAAAATTGATTATTTTATTTCTGTTAATAGCTACAAACTTGTATGATTTACTAGTATGCGCGTACTATACCAGAAATAAATTAAATTCTGATTATATTTTTTCATTGAATAAGATTAGTTTAAGGGACGCATTACAGGAAATAAGGAGCCTAAAAATCTGATGCAAAGGAGATTGATGGCATATCAACGTCAATGATCCAGCTTTGCTTGCCAGTTATTCTCCGTCACGTCGTCCACATCTTTAACGAAAAAGTCTACTTTCCAAATACATGGAAACAAGCTCTAATAATTCCTACAATTATTGTGGATGTATTGACCTTACTTGACAAGTTCCGAGAAACACAGATTATCCCAGAGGATTGCTACGTTAATTTGAAACTTGGAAACGACACCGTCTAGTACCTGCAAACGGTGTACAATAAACCTTATGTTTGATCGGCAACTACTAGGAAACAAAACCCTTACTATTCTTTTTTTTTTGTAACTTGGAATCGAAATAATGCCCAGAAGTTGGAGTTGATCTAATCCAATAATTATGATAGCCTTACTGGCTCCATCCACTGCAGTGAATTAACAAATCGACTATATAACGGATGTGGACAAACAGGGAATGCACCATTTAATGTTCGATGAATAAAAAAGCATTTAACGCTTAGGTGCGCGCGGTTTAAAGCATATAACACGATTAAATACTGCAATTATTATTTTTGTAAATATTTGTGTCAGTTCCGATATCCAAATAGCCTGATAAATGGGATTTTTAATAGGTTTTTGCATCCACCGCTCCCTCATAAAGCTGGGGATTTATTTTTTAATTATTGTGATATTGTTTGTAGTATTTCATTGTTGTGACAGCGGTACATGTATTCATCTGCAGTGGCTTTATTGAATCAGTAATCTCAAAATACACCAGCAACATGCTGGAAATTTACTTCAGTGAAGTTAGATGAAAAAGCATTATGGAATGTGGAAAGCTACCTTTCCATGAGTAGATTAGATTTTCTACCTCGCAGATGTCGTGGAAAACAGATATTTCTGTATATCTCAGTACTACAACCACTATCATCAGTTTCAGCAGAGTGTATCTATTGTATTGAAATACTGGCTATAGTCAAAGGCTCCAGTCCCCTAGGTATATTTAAAAGAAAACTAAAGGAATGATTGCGTGAAATTTCTAGAGTAAAAATACACCAATTAGTTGATCTTGGTTTTTAACATCTAACATCAGGTGTAAATTGAATGTTAATTGTTATGGATTTTTGTATTCAGAGTATATTTATGTATTAGATTGCCACGCTCTTTTTTTTTAATTAATTAAAATCACTTTTTAATTTTCTCAATTGAGGCAATGGATGATTAAAAAAAAACTAGGGGGTTACTGAGGCTAAAGCCGTGGTTTAGAGTTGGCAAATTAGGCCCTATGCTCAGGTACACCGGAGAGTAGGGGGGTATTTTTTAGGGGCGCCACCAGCGTTTATCCGCCAAAACTGGAAGACGCCTTGGTGTTGAAAGGCACTCTTTAGCCCAAAACCCCAAGAAACAAAAACAAAAATACATACAAACAATCGATTTTCTGTGTGGGTAAATAATTGCTAAAATTAACATCAATACATTTTATTACATCTACTAACAGCTAACAACAAAAATTTAAGCCAGCCAAACTAGGAGATCTCCCTTAATGCGAAAGCTTATTGACTAACTAATTTAAAATGGGCGAAGAAGGCTTCAAAACCGATGACGTAAGAATCCCTATGGTGGAAAAAGGGTCTCTGTTCGGAAAAGAGGTCCGCGGTAGAAAACGTGTCAATGGATCTCCAGTAGCGAAGATTCCCCCAAAATAAAAACCCTAGGAAGAATAATAGTATTCAGGCGATCGAATGTAACAGTATAAAAAAAATACAAATTTAGTTAACAACAATTAACGTAATTGGAAAAGTAATCTTCAAATATTGAATATTAATTATACGCGAATAGAAATTAAATATTTTAGATAAGTCAATTATGATTTTTGACCACCCGGTATAACAGATTTAAAATTACACTTTGAGTTACTCGGAAAATATCATAAAACCAACGCATGCTCCACAGAATACTAAGTCAACTACATTTTAGAACAAGAATAATTATTTACTTTTGAGAAAACTCATATAATATATGAGAAATATTGTCTTTTGCCTAAATTTTCATTTACTTAAAATAAAATAATGCTCACCTAGATGATGTCGGGTAGGGTTTTTCACATGGTTCCGTCTGGCGAAAAGTGCGGCTGAAGACAATAAGATCCTACAAATTGTAGAATTTCTGGGGTCCAAGGGTAGACAAAAAAAAGATGCTACGCACTCACAACAGGAATGACCCAGGAAATTATCTATGAAATTTTCTTCCACAATCCAACGAAGATGCCCCAGGCAAAAAAGGAGGAAAATTTCAGGTCTTCTCGCACTAGCGGAACAGAAGAAGATGGCCCTTCGATAGTGGTAGGAAGTCCCCTCCCAAAATTTAATTTTTTCGACTTGACATTTCCAAATATAGTTGTACGCCTGACCATTAAGAGCCAAACGTTGTCGGCTAATCCCAAAATGAGAAGGTTCCTAATATAAATTCAAGGAAATATCGTGAATAAATGTGGCAACACAGTCATATCTGCATATAAATTTGATTGATTAATAAACATAAGGAAATTCTGAAATAAAATTGGCAACTATGCGGTACGCAGAATAGTACCTCGACATCAGCGACATCAGCCTATGAGATTGGAAGATTTCAGAAAACAATAATAAATTCTTCTGACTATAAAAGAAATACATAGTTCAATAGGTGAGTAATAATATTTATGCAACACAAAAAGTTTTTAATTCAGAAGGTGATATCAATTTATAGATGTACATTTATTTATTTATTTATTTATTTTTAGCTCCGGAGTGACAAACCGGATTGTTGTTGGGATGTAAACAAATCCCCGAGGCGAAAATTCCGAGATTGAATTGATTTCTTGACGGTGGAAGATCTAGGATGGGATGGAAGCAACCGAGTTATTTATGAAAATATGTGGAGATGAATTCTAAAATTATTACTCATGGTGAACCAGGGAAATTACTAGGCAACACAAGAAGAAATTGTCCATATCAGGGTGAGTAAATTCTTCAATTAATTACCTGAATGCATGGAAAATTGACTACACATTTATAAACTTAGTGGTAGAAACTGTAAAGATGATCAAAATGGATTGCGATTGCTGTACGTTAAATTTGATAATTGAAATTTTTGGATTATAAAATAGATCAGGATGGATTATGTTTTATTGATTGAGAAATATTTGGTTTCAATTCTCAAATTGTTCAGTGACATGGAAGATGCTGACTACTATACACAGGCAGCCAAACGACTACAGAAGAAAAACAACGGATACAAATTAAAAATTATAGTTATTCCGTGGGATTCATGTGTTATGTTTGTTATTTCAAATAAACATGATAGTAGGTAAATGTCTGCGTGTTATTTATTTTGGTTATGAATTACGTGAGAAAAATATAGCTAAATACACCGTTAAAAACAATCCCTATCTTGGGAAATGGCCAATGGGCCGGTCTAGTCATTTTTGTCAATAAAATTGATTTAATAATATGCTATGAATAAAAATAATATGCTACGGAGATTATTAGATTAGATTATCGGCTTTTGTTTCTTCCTTCTCAAGTTCTTGCTGCATTACTTCAAATTAAACCTGTGCGACAACAACAACAACAAAAAAACATATGATTCATCGGCAACTGTTACAAGATACCAACATTCCCATGCAGAAGGTTATGGCTTTTATGGACTCGTTATATTCTAAAGGTATTAAACCAAATTTTGAATTTGAATTGGATTGAATTGTAGAAATTAAAGTTGAAGTTCACATTCACCGAATTATTTTTTATGTAGGTTGTCATTTTCGTGTTCTGTCGATTCAAATACTGAAGCTACAGGGTTTGTCCGGAAAGTAATAGGACTCATTTTCTTCCGCCATGACTGTACGTCGGAGCGTGTGTGCACCGACTGGATTCGGTAGAGGGCGTTCCTAGCTAACGAATGAGCGGCTGGTCAGTTGTCTCCGAGCACTTGAAGAGTCAGGACAGGCATTGTCGCGCGACGTGTTTCTGTGAGTGGTGCAAGCCGAAAATGCAGCCTTCGTTAGAGCAGAGGTACGCGATTAAATTCTCTGTGAAACTCGGTAAATCTGCTACAGGAACGTTTGATATGATCAAGCAGGCTTACCCAGGTGTTGCTTTAGCAAGAAGTGGTGTGTATCGGTGGCACCAGGCCTTTTTGGAGGGCCGGGAAGAGGTCGCTGATGAAGACCGTGCTGTTAGACCTTCGACTTTGACCAACACTGATAATGTGACTCGTGAGCGCAAAGTTTTGAACTCAAACCGTCGACTAAGTATTCGTTTAATTGCCCAGATGTTAAATTTACCAAAATCTGTGGTTCATGACATTGTGACACAGCATTTGAACATGCGCAAGGTGTGCGCGAAGATGGTCCCAAAAGTGCTCATTGACGACCAGAAATTGCGGCGAGTGGAAGTGTGCCAAGGAAATTTGAACATGTGTGAAAGTGACCCCCAATTTTTGAATAACGTAATCACAGGTGACAGAGGCAATCTTCCGAGTGGCACACGACGGCGTCTCCTTGCCCAAAAAAGGGAAGAATCAGCAAATACAAAGTGAAAACGATGCTTATTGTCTTTTTTGACATCAAAGGCATCGTCCACCATGAAATTTGTTCCTCCTGGACAAACCGTCAACGCCAAGTTTAACGTGGAAGTACTCAGGAGACTCAAACGAAGGGTCAGTCGGGTCCGACAAGACATTGCAGCCGACTGGAAGTTGCACCACGACAACGCCCCAGCTCACACCGCCTTTCTTGTGAACAGCTACCTGACCAAGGCCGGCATCCCAATGCTTCCGCAGCCGCCCTACCTCCCAGATGTGCCCACCCGGACTTCTGTTGTTTACTCGCCGGAAAAGGCCGATTAAAGGGAAGCATTTTGAGACGACAGAAGGGATCCAAGCAGAATGCACCGCGGCTCTCAAGGCTATTCCGGAGAATGCCTTCCATGACGCCTTCAATGCTTGGAAATCGCGCTGGCAGCGCTGCATCGACGCAGAAGGAGCCTATTTTGAAATTTTTTAAAGAATTGTAACGATTGGCTCAATAAATTTTTTTAAATCGACTCAGTCCTATTACTTTCCGGACAAACCCTGTATGTTACAAAAAAACATTTTACTGAACAAAGCTTGCTTAGATCAAAATTACCGTCCCAGTAAAAAGGGATCTTATTCCGTATCTGACAGTTTTTTGTTCCAAGAAACTTCAAAATAGTTCCGAGCCGGTTCTGAACTGGTTTTAACATTTCTGGTCTTGAGAGAGAGAGAGAGAGAACTAAAAGTTTGCGTTTGATAACGCATGCACGTTTACAGAATAAATTGCGTCGTTCATAGCTCGGAAGGTGGATTTTGTGGCTGCCATTTTCTGCCTTTAGTAACTTTTCAACCTTTTCATATCTCAAGTCCAAATATTAACCACTTAATGTTCCATTGATTGCACATATTCAAGACATGGATGACGATGCAGCAGATTCAAGTGAGAATGAAGATCTTGAGTTGCTTATAGGAGTTCCAATGTTATTCAATCATTCTATTTATAGTACAAAATTTTATATATTCCTTTAATTTTCAGTTAATTGAAAGATTAGCGTTGTTAACCTTTCACTTAACATCCTTTGCTTCTACTGTAGCAGAGCATGCTTCCTCTAAAGGCAAAAGGATACATTTCTCCAGCTTTAAAAAAGACAAGACGTCGAACTATTTCTTTAAAATATTTAACCAAGCTACCCATTTCCAAATAGAAATGCCATTTCGTTGTAAATTTATGTTTACGACAAAAAGCCATGTAATTCTCTGTTCCAACAGAATTGTTGGGAACTAGTTCTGAATTGTACTTATCTCTGACATGCGCAGGACTATTTCGGAACTGCTTGATTGAGCAAATCTAGAATATCCATTAATCTACAGATGTATTATTCAAAATTAAGCACTGGCTACTCAAGGAGGAAGAGAAGTAAGCGCTTTCTAACCAATATAGGATGGAATGTATGACCTATCCACTTTAGGCTTAGATTTGTGAAACTACAACTTTGCTTCAGTCAATGTTTTTAAACCCACAGCGCAGAATATAAGCTTAGCATGTATCTGTGTATATGCGAATCTGTGGCATCGTAGCACCTCATCGGATGAACCTAGTTGAGTGCTTGTCTTGTCTGTGTTTAGTAGTTCCTAACAACGTGTGATGAGGATCGGTTGATCTTTTGGAAGTTATGAGTGGCGAATTTACAGCTTAAAGTAAGCAATTATGACTAAATGGGGTATCATATAAAATGTTTAAGTTGGCAGATTACTAAAAATACAGTCAAACACATTGAAAATTGGGCTCGTTATCCTATAATATCTTTAGCTCCCGACGGAAGAACTCACAAACGGGTACATCTGTTTTTTCCTACAATCGAAGTTTTTGTCTGTCGGGATGATTCTTAACTACACGGTAGCCCCATTATTAAGCCCGGTATCTAAAAAGGTTAATTACAAATTGTGGTCAGCAGTAGCTTCTTGGAGAATATTTTCACCTCTACAGGGGGAGCGATGATTCCGTGGCAACCCAAAGATACATTTTTTATTGATATGGATAAGCGCTTTTAGATGTATCAAATTGATCTAACGGGCCCACATATTTTATTATAAAATACTCAACCTTAGCATCTCGTACCGCCTCATGGAGTATACAGACAATTGGAATAACAATACATACAGAAGAACGAAATATATTACCACTAGTCATCATTGCTTCATCACAAAACATATAAATTTCTGTATACAGCTTGCTCGTGGCCTTCTTGTAAGGCAAAAGATTACATTTCCCAGAAAAAAAAATCCGATTTTGCTCAAAGAAAACTGAATGAGAAACCTTCTAATTTGAATGTCTCCAGTAAAGCTCGGTTACAGCAGCTTCTCGCTGGAGCGCAATGTGAAGACATGCGAGATGCGAGCATCTCCATTTTAACTGAAGTAAAGCACTTCCACTTCAATCTGAACGTTAAAGTCTTCGCTTTGGCGCCCTCTATAGCTCACTCACATCGCTAGAGATGGAGCTAAACGACACATCAACAAAATAGTCGATGTTTTGCAAATAAAATTTCTACTTTAAAATATCCTTTGGTAATACATGTAAGTCCAAAGATTCTCCAATCAGCAAGAGGTATAATTAAGATTATAAAGATTTGTAAATTGTTGCGAGATCCGTGTATTCGACAATCTAAAACTCCTAAAAGAACTTTCTATGAAGGAAATTTTGTCGTATATGTTTCCAGTGTGAAGTTGTTTTGTGGTAGTTTGACCTTCAAGGATAGAAAATTTTAGTAAAAACAGTCCGACAGTTTCGCAATATTTAGCATTTGATTTTTGCTAAGAAGATTACATTTTTTTCTATAGATATTAAACTTTGAAGACCATATCTGTTTTGAAACAATCAGAGCGGATCATTTGTCACAATCGTACGAGTAGCAGCATTATTTTTGACTTAAAATGGGAAGAAACCCACACGAAAGTTATTCTAAGGATTACATGTTAAAGAAAAATCCATACTCACGTGCGACTTTAACAGAAGCAACTATAATTGCCATGCCAATTGGCAAGATGATTTTAATATCTTCTCACATTAAGTTAATTAGGATACATGATCAGAATAGCCACCATTTGCTTTTTTGCTTTTTTATACATGCCCCACACCGTTTCGTAAAACTTTTTTTTTCTGCAGCCACTAACATGCTCGGGGCTTATTAAAATTGTGTAACCTCAGTAAAAAATTTGGAGGATTCAAGTCCGACGATCTTCATGGCCATGTCATATGACCACTGCCACTGCCACTGTTACCGATATTTATAATTAACGTGTTTTTGGACTGGACGGGTATGATGTGCCCGGCAACCATCACACATATAGATATCCTTGATTGGGCTAGTATCATTTTTGAGTTATTTATGCTATAAGATAGAGGAGTGGATAGGGCAAATAGATTTGCTGCAACTTGACAATACTCCGGCACATCATACTCGGGGAGATCAAGACCACTTCAATCACAAACATTCATAAAGACGAGTCAGTCTTGTTCCATTGCCACCAGGGTCTTTGGACCTAGACTGATTAATCTGTTTCATTGGGGTTGCTTAAGATATTTTGTATACCAAGCTGAACAGCCATGGTAACAAAATTGTGTTCCAACATTTTAACCACCTTTCTAACCTCTTAGGGATTTCTCCTGATCGATAGTCTGGAAGATTTGCTCTACTGTGAGATAGGTTCCGATATTATTCAGCTGAAAACCGGGTATTTGCATTGGACAATATATAAATGAAGTGCATTCCTGTCTATTCTTGTGACACATCTGAGATCTTGCTTTGAAATCGAAATAATAGAATTACACAAATGGGATGAGTTCAGTATTGCCTATGCAACTCTTTTATAGCACAGGCGCCAGTTTATTATACTATACAGGCTTCATTGTTCAATTTGTATCACAAAAGGCCGTCATCAAATTGTGTAGCCTTTTTATTACCAAAAATGATGTCAAGGCCTCCATTTGAATTTGAGAGTTCGTTGTCGCTTACGTTTCCTAACTTTATTACAAAAGTAGAATGTAGATAATGGCAGTTATAGAAAAAAGTTTACAAAATAGTAATGTTCGAGAATAATGGTAGCTGCAGCGTTTGGTCTATTTATTATGTTTGATTTCTGAGGAGGTATCTTGGAAGGCCATAACATCCGGAAGTTTGCCCTAATTATGAGTAGTTTATCTGCCCACCAGTTTTGATCACAGGCTTACTTGAATATTCTGTCATTTTTTTTTTTAAATTACGTTGTAGCCGATAGGTATATCAACATTAACTGAACTTATTTTTCATTTTTAGCTTTTTCTCCACAATGTATTATTTAGCATCATATCCTGTAAAACTAACTCAAAAACCGTGGATATTGGGATAAGAATATATCTGGTTTTCTAATTGGAAATAGCCCCCTTTGAGATATATCTCCATAAGGGTTTAGTAAAGCCAGGAGCCGCCCTGCTGTCAGCTCCTGCACCTCACAAGATTTTCGATCCATACGCAATAGACATAGAACCTCTTATTGGTTTATCTGTCTGCTTTCCTCATTACATACCTTGCTCAGTATCATTCGTCTTACCAGTGGCTCCATTTAAACCCATTTGTCATCGTCTACATGCTGCAGTATACCCACCCATCTGTACGGGTTCCCTGTCAATCCAGACCTTAATTCCAGCTTCATAGCTGGTCGTGTCGTACTTTCGCTGTCACTTGGTATATAGCGCCTCTCGTTCATCATTTCTAGTTCCTGCGCCCTTCTTCCAGAGTGCACATGTTTCATCGGCTGGCCATCTATTGGCGGGTTTCCAGCCATCACCAACAGCCCCTAGGTCAACACAATTCTATAGGCGTAGATCACGCGTAGAACTGACCTGCGCTGACATTTGAGCATTTATTGTGTATAGTTATTATCTCAATGCTTTTTAATACAGCATGGATCCTCCGTTTTCGACTACTGGGACCACCATCAGTTGGCATCAGCCGAGTCAAGCAAGCAACGACTCTATTTGCTTTTGCCACTGTGCACTTTAAATGCTCGGTCATCTTTGTATATTTGCCTAGCCATACGCACAGGTATTTAATTGCACGAATTTTGTATTTCAGCATTCGCAACATTTACTATTACTATTAACATCTGTTGAGTGGCATTTAAAGTATGTCATATCGAATATGTAATGAGACGGTGTTTCAAGGCATCGTGCTTAGGCAAACTACTTTTGCATTTGCATATGCAATTATTTTTACCTCGTTATTTTATCAACATCGTAGGATGGGACATTCAACAAGACATGACATTACAGTCATAGTACAGCATGTACAACTTCTATATAGCAATAACAGAACTTACACTTAACTTTTGAATGAATTCCTTTGCTCTTAAGCGTCTCAACACACGCTGCAAGAGGCAACCAGACACTGTTTGGTCGCCATTATACATGTTGGGCGTTATGCTATGCGCGAACCCCTAATAATTTTCGTCCGGTGCGTTTCTGTGCTCGCTGCACTTCCTCCTCTTGATCAAACAACAAGCTGGATGCTAGTTATACATGCTAGTCTGATATTACTTGCCAAACAAATACACTTATCCCAGGCTCTAGCATTTTTCCGAAGCTTACATTGTCTCCCATCTCTACGCCGCGCCATCCTGATTTACGTCTTGCTGGCGTAGCCATAAAATCCTAAACAGTCGGCTACAAAGTGTATCAGTTCCGTAAAAGCGTCCCAACACGTGGAGGGAGCTCTCCGCTTTTTCACTTTACACAACGGAAATCAAAGGAGACCGTTTATTTGATTTACAATCACTGCACCTTGTTCTCCAGCTATTGAAACAGTGGAAGATATATCACTTTGAACGAACTTTATTGACAGGTTCCAAAACCGCTATTTGCAGAAGAATTCGGGTATTACAGCTCCATTACTGCAGCTACAGTTTGGTTTGGAACCGCTGACATTCCAAAACCAGCTTCAAGTAGAATAGGAATTCTAGAATTAAATGACAATGTCGAGTAGTCAACACTGTTTTTGTACTCTAGGAGGCAGTTCTTAAACATTGGAGAACAACAACAGCCAATACAGACGCATTTATATGACAGTAGTTTTCAACTTCAATATTCACTTTATGCTTTTTAAGGACTTCGTTTTTTGAATAAGACGAATCGTCAGTAAAGTAATTTCTTCAACACCTGTGATTTTATTTGTAGGTCTGGGCATGAAGCACTTCTTGTTGCCAACTACCCCTATAGCTATTCTACAATGATAAAAAAATATTGCTGATTTTTGAAAATTGTTTTTACCAGGTTAAACCAGTGCCGAAGGTACGGACTGCAGGCGCTGAGCCGGTAAGAATGATCCTGAAGCCATTCAGTAGTTTCAGAATGGAGTACTACGGAATATAGCCATTTTCGTGGTACATTCTCAACAGCAATCTTCACAGGTACCTTGGCGTCAGAATGCGCATAGGTAAAATAAAAGCTTTTCATCTAAACATGGACAACCGCTCGGTCGGCACGTAAATCTCAAGGATCTTCAACTCCCGTACAATCGGGATATCATTAGAAATCTCAAAAGCACAAAAAATATTATGAGCAAAGGCACTGATTGACATATTCTAAATGAAGGTAGCCAACCTTATACTAAATTCCTGCGTCCAAGCGGTTATCCGAGATAGTAGTGTAATTAGTATTTCGTTCTTTATACATATATGTAACACTTGCAGTCATGACATAAATGACTACAATGTGCATAACGTTGGATTATTTTTTGACCACCAGAGTTTCGAAGTAAGGGTTCGCTATAGTTTTTTTTTTGATAATTGAACACGGAAAGGACTTTTTATCCGTTATTTAAATATATGTCTAATCACTCTATATTTGTTTTTTATTTATTTTTTTTTTGTGTATATGTTGGGAATTGCTGTATTGTCAATGTAATTAGGGGATGAGTTTTAACCAAAGTAGTTATTTTTACTTCGATATCATTATTTAAATTGTTAATTAATACATTATATATATATATATATATATATATATATATATATATAAATAGTGTTTCAAACTTTTTTGTAGAGTCCAGGAGCAGGAAATACATTTCTCCGAAACATCGGCAACTTTATAACAGGAAATTCCAATTAATTTCAAGAAATTGTATTTTGTTGGGTACCTTCAGATACGTTAATTCGTTGACCAATGACAAAGTGACAGCGCAAGTGTGACACCTGTGAAATGACTAAATGCAACAAAAAATGGGAGATGTTGGAGCTTTTACGAAGGGAACTAACTCTAACAGCTATAGTTTTATTAGTAGTTAAGGTTAGGAAAAGTACGTTCTCCAATTTCTACCACTTGTGTTCAAGCTGTAGGCAAGATTTATTCATGTATCTGATAAAAGCATTTTAGAATAAATCTACGACGTTGCAGCTTTCTAAACAAAATTCATTTACACTTAACAATTCAACCCTCACCATTGGATCTCGGAAACTGTAAGAGACAGGAATGGGAGAAAAGTTACGTTCCTGGCTTTAATTGTAGTAGGATTTCAAAATCAATTGTACATTAACATTGCCACTTTTTCTACTCTACAACATGGCATGATTAGATTTCCAATATAGCGTTTCGTCTCTCGTCCTCCAGCATCAACTTTATTTTTTCTTATGGACGCCTTATTGGATTTTTGCACAGGTAAATAGAGTTCCTAATTTTGATTTCAAAAAATATGTTATACATTGACATTGCCAACCCTTAGTTATTCCAGAAAAACGGAGTTTCCTATGTAGTCCTTGAAATTATCAGATTTCATTTGTTTCGTATACCAGACCAGACCTCAAATTGAACATATCAACAGAGTTTGGAAGACTGAGAAGAAAATAAATAAATCGAGCAGTAGAGCACATAGAAGAATCAGGCTTTGCATCCAAAATAACTGAGATTTTGAACATCTGCAATGATTTACCTCTGTTTATTTATGATTATTTTTGTTATTACAGTAAAATTTTCATGTTGTGTTCAGGTTTCACCATACCTTTTTATTTCCTTATAATTTTGACCAGTCAACAAATTCATGGCCAACTTTATTTTAAAATCCCATCTCAAGTAAAGTCTCTTTTGTTAGTTACCTAAATACGCAACTTTGTCCCCATTTAAGATTTGAGACACCCGGTTTCAATTTATGGCTGAGGTGTCATGTAGAGCGCCTGTCCTGCTAAGGCAATGCTTGTTATAGTAGATAAATAAATAAATAATACAAAGCATCGTATTGCTTTAGACAGTTCATCTATATACGATGAATAAATATATGCAAAAAAACATCAAATTAAGAATATATAGAACATTATTTCTATGCAGACAGGCATAATACGTCTTTTCAGCCAAATAGACTGTATTCTTATAGCAAATCCGGAACAGAAACAGAGGTAATCCGGAGGCAAAGTGTCGGATTCGCCCAACTCGTTTAAAAGTCTACGTGAGTGTGCCGTGTGTATGTGTGCGTTTAACGATGACTTTGGTCGTAGACGCCCTTGACTCCATTAGTCAAGGCAAGGTCGCGCTCGGGCTTGCTTCTGCCTTCTGCTGCTAGTAACCAGCAGCCAGCAGCTCGCCTTCCTTAACTTCATAAGGGAATGGCTCCGGGCAAAGCGACGTCTTTGCAGCGGACACGTCTGCCCGCAATGTTGTCAAATTGGCGGAAAAGTGGTCAAAGGTAAGATATTTGATGTTTGCGCACATTAATTTTTTCACGCGAAACAAATCGTATGTAAAAATTGACTTTCATTTCTGTAACTATCTTACGTAGAGTTGTTTCCAACGCGACATGAACATGAAACACTAAAAAGCTAATTATCTGCTCGAAATTTTGTTAGTGTTACAGACCGAAAAATATGCAAATAATTAATAAGTTATTGAAAATACCAATAATAAATATACACTGCCTCGATATACCATCTATGCAGCGTTAGGACACGGTGCCGAAAGTATTGCCCACTTCTGCCATGCATCCCATTCTTGTAGATACATTGTAGATACATCTCAAGCCAGTTAACATAATATAAACAAAGCAAATGACTTCGAGACGTCCAAATAAACAGACCATTATCTTTAACATCTATTACCTCAGCACAAGCAAACAACGTCGTTAACAGTAGATAGGTCGGAATCTGAATATGATTTGTCACTCTAGAAAATTGGATTCTTATTTAAGGTGATATAGGTCCTCATACATGATGCTACCACACTGTCTCAGCGCTGTGCGTCTGTGGTACAAAACGAGAATCCTAGCTTTATTTTGTCTGAAAGTACTTAAGTCGGTAGTATTTGATCCACTAGGGAACTGTTGTAACAGATTTACCTGTTTTAAGGATCAATACATAACAGATTTCAGTAAATACATAGGAAAAATTCTGATGTAGATGCGTAATGGAAAAGGTACAACCTACAAAAGTATGTGCCATTCAAGTGCAGAATCAGTGTTTTTGAAAATTATCCTAGATGATAAATATACTACTTTTTTGTGAAAATAATCAATATTCACTTTGATCCGTCGGTATTTATCATGGAATGTGATATTTATTGACCATTTGGCCAAGATGGAAGTATTTATTAATATATAGGGTTACATAATCCACTGACACTGACGGACTCATCAGTAAATACTGATGACACGTACTATAGTAGATACTGCTCATGTCACATTCACCTTATATGAATCAGTAATACCGCACACCTAAACGTTAAGGCTTATTTGACATTTCTCACACATGAACTCCTTTGCACGAAGATACGTTATGTTGAATTGTAATTTGTGGGACAGTACAAATAACTCAGATATTTAGTCAGCCCTCCAAAAATATTGCTTATAAACAGTATAACCCAAAATCGTTAGAATATTGTGAATTAGATGCTAATTATTTCGCAATGCATCCCATGCATTTCAATATACAAGGTGTTTCAGTACAACTTTTTGAGATAAAATTCATTTTGCGCTGAAAAGCACTCGGTATAGGTGACTGCTGAAATTAGATGTTTAAATGACGAGAAACTATGGAATCTGAAGCTCATTTTGACTTTGTTACACCATCTGCAGCAGAACTGACTTACAAGCTATCAATCTGTCTGTTCTTTCGGACAAAATATCCAGTTACTCAAGAAGTGGCAATTCAAACCATATACTAACCTATATAGTAATTGTTTATTCGAGAATACACTTTGCTATACAGCGTATTCCATTTTTAAAAATGTGTGTCTGTATTATTGTGTATTGGTACATAGGTATTTATCACCCTATAAGAGTGGCATATTTTCCAAGTAAGGAGTGCATAAATTCATACAGTGTTGGTAGCTAGCTTTTTTAGTATTAAAGACTAAAAACTTTACCCTGCATATATTACTACTAAAGATTACACACAGATGTGACAACTACTGTGTTACCACCTACTCAACAACTTTCCCACCAATACCACGGCCACCTGCAGGATTTTTCAAGGGGCATATAAAAAATGTATAGTTGTGCTCTCGGGGAAAGCCCCCCCCCTCCCCTATATATTATATGATACTTTAAATATCAGATAACCCGACTTTCGATGATTTCTTGATAAATAAAGCCCAAAAATACACCACACAGGTTTTCTAATGCATTACCATTTCAACATTATTTTTTGAATGTGTCACACCGATACTGACGGGAAACCAAACGCAACGAACCTAATTTTTGACAGTCGGTCATAATTGCAAATTTAATATTTTGCATTCCATTCATGGAATGAATGATTCAAATAATACAAACTTGTCCCATTCAAACTGATGCTACTCTAGTCTTTAGTTTGACTTGCACTGTGTCAGTCAGAAGCGTGTTGAAGCCTAAGCCCTACCAAGAAGCAACTTTTCCCGGTTTGTGGAAGCTAAGATCATTGACTACATGTTGTGGCTTCTAAGCTCTCCCCTCCATGATGGTGGTGCTATTTGGTTTTAAGTCTTCAGGACAGGTTGGTCTATTTTGGGAGTGGCCTCTGTCTCCAGAATTTTTTTTACACGGAAGCAGCCGCTCAGACAGAAGCCTAAATGTGAAATAACCTACTAGAAGAGGCTTTCACCGTTCTTAGCCGGTCAGGCATGGGTACTCAAGAATGTTTAAACTCGCGCTAAGCCTCTTAATATGTCGTTTCCTGTTGAATATTCTGCAGCCTAAAGATGATCATTGAGTGCCAAAGCTATCGGCCCATCAGTTCATGTTCTTTTTACTTTTCAAGCTAGAAACTGTGCTGCTGTGTCCAGTCCAGTGGTAGTCGTGATTTCAAGATCATTAATCCACAGAGAACAGCAGGTAAATCTACGTTGTTTCATTCTTCAAACAGTTTGCGTTGCTACCCAATTGTTGTTTTTATCAAGACTAGATACAGCGGTGTGACAACGCCGCGTAGTTATTTCCCGCTCATATATAAAACAAGCTTGCAAGAAGTGCCGACCGGTAAAAGAGTGAAACAAAGTGATTCGCTGTTAGACGCGCGTATCCACCAACCTGTCTACCTGTACGACATTTTGCGAAAAGAAAGGCAACAGAGAAAAAAGTAAGTTGCTCAGCGGAAATGCTGCCGAACGCGACTACACAGTATTCCTCAATTTTCCTAGTGAGAGTAATTTAATGGCAGATGCTAGCAGCAGACGACACGCTTTGCATGCAGTTTTTGGTGGAGGGTGTTCTTTCTTTCTATTGTGTATTTAAAGTGATGTGAGTGCAAAGACTGCGGAGTGCGCGATTTTCCTCACGCGCGCCATTATGGATACTACATAGTATATACCTGTATTATATATAAAGTTTGAATGTTACATCACCGTATGTATTCGATATTCGATCGCCTTTTAAAAGTTCAAGCAAAATAATAACAATAAAAGATTAGGCTAACTAGCCAAAAATTGTTGTAGAAAAAAATCGTATAGACTGATTTTACAACAGGATTACATTCTTCCATCTAGTGGTACGAAAAATTTTGATGGGTAGTTTCCTTAGTAAAAGTCAATTTAGGCAAAGTCACTTGTATTCAAAAAACTATGAAGTATTGTTGCAGCAGGTACGCCGCAAGACAGCTTGCAGAAGATAATCATTTCCCTTTTGAATTTAGTTGTGATTATTAATCTCAAGAAAATTTTGAATATTTAAGGTAGGCACACACATATAGTTTTTCCTCAAGGTTTGGACTTCGTGGTCCAAGTCTTAAGGTTTTCCTGAACGTGTGTGGTATAATCTCAATCCGTGTGTGGGGCAATCGCATTTAAAGGAAATCATCAAGGCTTTGACTACACAGTTTTGTCTTGAGACAAAACTGCATGTTAGTCTGATCATATTAGCAAATTTCCCCGAAATAATTGTAAACTCTGGTTTTATTGGTGCAAGTTGTTCAAGGGGGGTGTTTAAAACATGGACGCATAAAATGGGTACACCAATTTTTGTGGGGAAACTTACTGACAACAAAGAATGAGAAAACGTGTTCTTTGGGACTCAATCGAAAGTGTTTACAGGAACGAAAAAACTTTTCATATAAGATTTTCAGGTATTTATGAAACCTACAAAATAAGACTACATTTATAAAAATCCGACTAATAGCAAAAATGTTATGGACGAAAAACGAGGCAAAATGCAGGTTTTGGCACTTGGTAATGCGACGATAATTTCACGCAACTACTTGAGATTCTTCAAATCCGTAGGATTCGTACTTCTAAATACCATCAAAATTGGATTATATTGGTCAAGTAGTTTTTGAGAATTTTCAAATTGTTTATCCCAAAACACCTGTTTTCCAGCCATAACTACAACAAATGCGCTATGATTTTCCGAAAACATCGTTACTATACACATTTTAAAATAAAGCGGATGTGTCTATCATCTTTTGTTACGAATTACTCACATATACGAAATGTTTGAATTTGTTTAGAAGAAAAAACGTAACCCATCATTTTTCGCATAACAATTACATTTATTTTGCGAAATGGTTTGCGATTCATATCGGCAAAGTTAACTAACACTTTGAACTAATCCTGCATATTGCTCAATAAACTAGTAATGATGACCGGGAAACAGGTGTTTTGGGATAAACAATTAGAAATTCTCAAAAACTACGTGACCAATCTACTCCAATTTTGTTATGGTTATTTAGAAGTACGAATCCTACGAATTTGAAAAATTTCATGCATCTGCGATTGAATCCCAAAAACCACTTTTTCTCATTCTTTGTTGTCAAATAAAAGGATTTCCCACAAAAACTGATGTACCCATTTAATGCGTCCATATTTTGAATACCCCCTTGAACAGCTTGCAGCAATAAAACTAGACTTTACAATTATTTCGCAAGCCAGGGGTATTTTCGTCTAATATGATTAAACTATGTGTGTGCCTACTTTGGAATCTTTCCTAGACGTCATCATCAGTTTAAGCCATTATTTCAGATAATTTGTGTAGTAGTTGCAGTAGGAAAAAAGTATTGGTAGTAGTAGTAAGTTGAAGGCTGGAAAAATCTGAAATTTTTTTTAATCATTATCTCGAACTAGGGTATATTTGCCAATGTCGCTTGACTTACAAAGGATAATTAAACCATCTGGTATATGTTAATGATGACATTCCTTACAAAACAGTATATTCTGTATTTAATTTAGTAGAGACTACAGACCTCTCAGGAAAACAGTATAACTAAGCTAAAAATATGTTATCCGTTGATGATGATCATCTCTTCTCACGTTATAGAACTAAGTGACGTAATTTTTGCTAGTACTATGTCAGTAGTATCCGATTTTAGTCGAATTTCTCAACATCTAAATTACACACATTTACATTGCAATATACAGTGAATAGCATATTTTGAATTATTTATTTATGAATATGAACAAAGTGCGTTTGGGAATGCCGAGGCTGGAAATCAAGATTGTTCTGACTGAAACGACCATGTTGCCATTGTCTGAGGCATGCATAGTATGTACGGTAATAGGTATCCGGCCATGAGTTATAAAATATGTAGTGCAACCACTGTTATTTGAATACAAATTGCTGTAGCATGAGAATGTGAACCATATAAGGAGAGAACATTAATGCTTGATATAAGAACAAGGAATTTCAACAGAAATATTGACTGTTTGCGGTTCACCACACAATAAAAGTACTTCCATATTGTACGCAATGATGGATTTTGTTTTCATTTTCTTTTAAGTGGAGAAACCTTATGGAGATCGATAAATAGGTCGAAATGATTGGACTGTTGATAAACATAAAAGCTTAACAATGATCGTTAACGTAAAGAGAAAAAGATATAGAGCTTTTATGTTCTCTTTGACCAAAACCGCCTTTGAAAACAATTCGCCAAACTTGTGAAAAAGTACTGTTTACAAGAAGACCATGAAGCAAAAACCAGATAGCCTCCAGCATGTGAAAGTTTGTCTTATAGAACATCGTAACTTGAGTAGATACTTTAACAGCCGATGATACAAAAAATATATTTCTTTTATATGGTCGTTAAAAACTTAGTTTCTTTCGTTACACTCCTAAACTTCGGATGATCTTCAGCAGAACAGCTCAGTTAACATCACTTCCACACACTTTGATTCTTAATTGTTATTCTCTTTTATCTTTCTTGCTTTTTATTTCGTTGAAGAAATGTGATGTGTTCATGAGTCTGTAGCAGCTTAATGTGCGGACAAGGATTCATAATTTATAACTGAAGAAAAAAATCAATCAATATTTATCGGTACAGGGCGATCCATGCCTGGGTCACTGATTTGATATTTGAATACAGATTGGGAAATTTTGAAAATGGTCATTAATCCGTTGGTAAACAAAATATACTCAGTAACATTAGAAGTGTTACACAAAAAAAATAATTGCCTCAACTTGTTTTTTTTGCAACATGATGACTATATTCAAAGCATGCTGTGGCAAAAATGTAAACGTTTTATCTTTGTTTTTGTTTACCTTTGCTAAAATGCTATCTCTTAGCTTTTGTGAAGAAAGCAGTTTCTGAGAGCTGAGAAGTACAGATAATTTTAGTTATTGCATACCCCGAGTTCGAAGAGATCCAAATTATCACCATATTAGCGACTTTGACAGGGGTAGAATTATCTCCTATCGAGATGTTGGTTTGTCCTATCCCGAAATTGGCCGCCGTGTTAATTGCACTGCAATGACGGTAATACGTGTCACTCGTGTGTGGATAGAAGAAGGCCACCTGATCTACCGAGGCGTACCACAGAATGTCAAGATAGGCGCTTCAGACAACTAGCCCTACGAGACCGTTTTGCTACTACGCGTCAGATCGCTGACCAATGGCTTGGAGAAGAAGGTAGACCTGTTACTATGGATACACTTTATCACCGTATTCAAGCCTTTGAACTTTTTTCATACCATCTACGGTTAGTACTTCCTCTGACTGCGGCACCGCTATCATACAAAAAACCTATAAAACGTCAAAAAAAACTTATAAGATGTCAACTTGCAGACTAGGTAGTTCTTAGGACACAAACAGTCATTCCATGTTTGCTCACTATGATCGTTGTGAACCTCCATCTATGGAGGAATCACTCAACTAAACTACATGCATTACTGGTTGCATATTTTTGTGAGGCTGAGTCATCCGTGTCTGTAGTTTTCATCTCTGAGAAGAAATTTGGTTGAATAGCATGATCGCATCTGGATGATTATGTGTATTGATCTTCATGTGTATAAAATCAGTGATATTTGCTGTGTGAGAGAATCATTACTGAATATGCCGAATATGACGGGTCATATATGTGTTGTGCTTTCTGAATAGAGGTTACGTTCAAAGTTATAAATTACGAAAAACTGAGGAGAATTACGGAAAATCATTTACCGCGCCCGCGTTGTGTGTAATGACTGTTAGCATCTTCGAAGTTGAGTCATTTATTTTAACAGTGAGTAGATCTGATCAAAAGAAATGTTTTTTTCCTTTATCATTTTTGTGGTAAAATTAAAGTAACAAAGTTATAGCCCTTTAGAAGTTTGAGTACCGCCCTGTCTCAATAATAATATTATGTGCTCGTGTTTGGCAACAACGGATATAATCCGCCTTATCCGTTCATCGCATCGGAAACAAAAAAGCGAAAGAATTTGAAACGCTGATCACGATGTTTTTATTCAGTCGATGTGTCAGTCGGTAACGCGTGAGTGAATAGTGGTGTTTGCTGCGTGGCTCAAACGAAATAAAAAATGGCACATGTTTATGCGGATCGGTTTCCCAATCGAGTGCAACCAACCCCTCGTGCCTTTGTTAATGTAGTACAACGGGCTCGTGAATCAGGTGACTTAAGACCTCACCGGAGAGGGCATGCCGGTGCTCCAAGACCTCACGATCAAATACAGGTCCGCACTGAGATACTTGTTGGGAGGATACTTTATAAAACAAGGTAAAATTTTTTTTTAATTTTTTTTTTTATTTTTACACACATATTTTGGTTTATCTTCCTTCTACAATCATTATCTGAAAATTAATGACTCAACTTCAAAGTCACCCTGTATATGGCTTGTAATTCGACAGTGTACAGTGAATATAATTATTTCTTATCTCACTCATTTTTGAAATTCAGCAAATTTGTATAGGATGTAATTTCCAGTATGGATAAGAAAAAGTGGAAGCGCAACTAATTTCTAGCTTTGAATATCAATTAAGTGTATTTGCGACAAGAACTCAATGTAATTATCATCGACACATACAAGGTATAGCTTAGACCTCCAGTAATGCCATCTCAGAAGCAGATTTTACAACACATCAGAGCCAAAGATTGATAACAAGCCTCATGACGTTTAGGCAACATGTACAACTAAGTTCTAAGTTAACATCTTGTAGAAAACCTACATAATGTCAAAAAAAAAATAGCATAATGTCAAACAAAATCGGCGTAATGTCACTCTTCAAGATACGTGGTACTCGTGCGGACCACTGTTGTCAACGTTTGAAGTGGAGCAGAAAATGACAACATT